AAACAAAATTAACTTTAAACAAGTTATGAAAATTGCTAAGGTAAACAAATTAAATTTGAATAATCTGCCAATGAAAAAATATATATTTAAGTTTGCCTCAATTAAAATTCGTTTGAGATTAACCCAAAAAGTAAACACAAAAAACTAAAAACAAATGTAACTTTAAACACAAAAATTTGTGGGTTAATTACCTAAAAGTAAAATTGGTGTTCCATTAAGTCCTACCTCATTGTTTTTAACCTATAAAGTCCTATTTTCAAAATATTTATGTACATATGACTATTTTACCCTTATTAAAAGGCGGAAGGAATTGAGAAGTGTCAATTTATTGAGTGTTAATAAAAAATTATTAAGTGTTATAAGTGCACCACATAATAATATTTATCATTCACTAACCACCAAGCATTATGTGTCATGCCACAATACAAAATTATGAGCTCTACCATCTTCACCAATTACAAATATTTTGATAACCAACCTAACCATGCCTTCAAAACATTAGATAATATTTCTAATTCAAGTGGGTATTGCTGATGTGGCATTTATATTTGTTCTGTTATTTCAAAACCTAAAACTTTCATAACTTTTATTAAACATGTTATTTTTAATAAAAATTACATTTTGGAGTCTATACAATGAGATCTATCAAACAAGATCAATATTGAATATAAATTTTTGTAAAAGTAAAATATTATTTTTTTAGCTATACGAAATTAACAATTTCCTATTTTACGAAACTATCCAGTAAAATTAAGAAATTTCTCAATTTTTTCCAATTTTAAAATTGAAAATATTATCAGTTTTTTGACTAAAAAAATTGGAAAAAACTAACTAATAATATTCTCAATTTTAAAACTAGAAAAAAATTGAGATTTTTTTTTAATTTTTAATTTTGTATAAAAATGTTACATATAATTGTTTAGTCAACTAAGAATTTTTTCAATTTTTTTAGTTCTGTAATTGAGATGTTTCTTAATTTGTTTATGTATGCTTATATGTAAAAGAGATACTTTATTTGTTTAAAATTTTAATTTATGGTTAGAAATTAAGAAAATTGTACATAAAAATTAATATTAGTCTTGTTTGATAGATTTCATTGTTTTGATTTTAAAAATATAAATTTTGTCAAAAATAAATGTATATTGCAAAAATTATGATGTTTTGAAGTTTTAAAAACCAAAATAAATGTTATATGACCACACCTTTCTATAAACAATTACAAACGATGAATAATCATTATTTGAAGGGTAATTTCGTCTATAAAGAATTAATAGAACCTGAAGGAATAACAAATCTTATTTAGGACTTAATGGATGTGAGGGTTGGTTTTACAATACTCCTTCGCTCCAAACAAATTTCGTCTATAAAGAATTAATAGAACTTGAAAACTTAGGTGAGCTCAACCCAAGTAATTTGAGTCGAGTTTAAAAAATTTTAAAGATTGAATAACATAATTTTCAATTGAGTGAGAACCTATGCAAAAATTTAAAAATTCAAATTAAATTTGAGTGGACTTGGGGGGAAACACCAAATAACTTGAGAAACCAAAACAAAATTATATATAAATTATTTGCTACTTTATTTTTTTAAAATAATAAATAAAGATAATTAAAAATTTAATATTAATGAACAAAAGAAAAAGCAATACACTTAAGATTTTCAATAGAATTTTTCTTGAAAATATTTAAAAAATAAACTTTTTAGAAAGGGGTTATCGAATAAAGGGTTGTTTAGGAAGTGTCATATTAGCGCACTTTTTTTTTATCTTTTTTGGGTCATATTACTTCTCTACTTTTCTACACATCTTTTCGTAAAAAGTAAAAAAATATAGTTAATTATCTTTTTTGAGTCACATCACATCTTTACTTTTTGTACATATTTTTGTAAAAAATAAAAAAATATACTTATTTAGTACTTCCTAGACTACCACGAAGTTGATATTAAAAAATGTACTTTTTATAATGACATAAATAATTTAAATACGATTTTTTAGAAATTCTTTTTAATTTGAAATTACAATAAAATATTAAATAGAATAAAAACAAATTCCGTACAAAGTAAAAGTATTTGAATAAAAAAAGGTAAAAAGAAAATTTAATATGGTATTTTTATCTAATCTGAAAATAATTTTAGATGAATAATAAGTTATCACTTATAACTCTTTCTTTTTTTTTTTAATACAAAAAGTTTAACAGACTATCACTTTTAATAATAATAAAAAAAAGATTTCTTTCTAATTTATTTTAGCAAAAGTAACTTTTTAACAATTTGAGCCAAAGATATCTCTTTATTCTTTATTCTAAGTTCTTTAATTGACAATCGAGATTAAAAAAATAAAAAAAATACAAAACAAAATCTAACAAAATCCACCATGTTTGGTAAGTAATAAAAAAAGTTATGTTGTGTACTTTTGTCAAATATATATATATATATTAAAGAATATTATTGTTCAAATTCTTATAGTATAGAAGGATTAATTTTTTTTTATAAAATTTAAAACAAAAAAGGAAAAAAAAAATTATAGTAATTAATAATTTGAACACATGTATTTAAAAGAAATTATATTTAGACCAATAATATTATGACGCATGTGAATATTGATCTCATTCTAATTGTAGTAATATAATTTGAAGAAGAATTTAAATTTGAAATTTTATTTTATAATTTAATAAAGGATCCAAAATTTAAGAAATGAATATTGATCTCATTCCAATTATAATAACATGATTTAAGTAAGAATCCAAATTTGAAATTTTATTTTAAGAATATAAAATTAATTTACAGACCAATCATATTGTAACACGTATTAACAAAAAATTGAAAAAAATAAAAAAATTGAGAAAAAAGAATTACAACTTTCAACCTTAATAAAATGACAATATTTTGAAAATAGAGGTTTTTTTAGTTGACAACTAGGCCAAAACAACATGCAAAGGTGGTCCAAACTAGTATACAAAAACAAGCTTAAGAGGGGTAAATGCTTACCCTTGAAGCATAGCAGCTAAACAAGCAACTTCTGAGCCAAAATCAGCTTTTTGAGCTCCAAACAAGCCTTCAAGAACCTCAGCTCCAAGGTGGTGGTGTTTGGCTAAAGGTCTCTTTGCAAATATATGAAGAAAACTCATTTCTAAGCACAATATAGCACAATATATATATATATAGATAGATAGATAGAGATTTTCTTTATCTAATATAGAGATTTTGAGTATAGAACATTCACGTGCCATAACAAAAGGGCCAACGAAACCATAACAAGTGGTGTATTATGAACAGTTTATTAACTTCGTATACTTATTAAATCGTTAATTGTTAAGTTCATTTTTTTTGTGTTTCAATTTTTGGAATTAGTACTAATCTAACATTGTATTACAGTCAAGTTGAGAGGATCGCGGGAGAATTATCAACCAACCCCCTTAGCTTGTCTATTTTCTTTCCAGTCAATTATGTTGTGTTTGGTTGGGGGATTTGGAGAGGGATTTGAAAAGGGAAATGAAAATGGAAAAAATAGGTAAAATGTGAATAAATCATGTCTATATTTCACATAGTTTCACATACCTTTTCCATTTTCATTTCCAAATCCCTCTCCAAATCCCTCAACCAAACACACCATTAAAGTAATGTTGCATCAGCAGTTGGCAATAGTATGGTACATTGAGGTTATGGCAGGTGCAAGTGACCAGTTGCAAGAATGCACTACGGACGATGTTCTATACGTCATTGAGGTTTTGACATCACAACTCCACATGTTCTATACGTCATGATCTCCTACAACAGATTATTTATCAAAAAAAATAAAAAATGATCTCCTATGAGCATGCTCAACCCAAAAAAAATAATATTAAAAATCATGAAAAAATTATCATAAAATACTTTATGAAGAGTTTTCATCCTTTAATTAGTGTGCAGTTTTTTTTTTTTTATATGTGTAATCTAACGATGGAGAATCTTTCATGATCATTTTCATGATATTTTTACCAATGAAATCAAGGAAATTAATGTTAGAATAAACCCTAATGCCAATTGCATCCACATAGAAAATGATACAAATATGGTTCCCCTGTTTGCAAAACCGTCTAATACCAAGAATGAAGGAAGAGGATCATCAATTATACAAGTCTAGGAATGAGTAATATCATCACAACCTAACTTCATCATACATAGTCTAAGAACACAACCTGATCATAAATAAAACCCTAAATGGGGAATTCCATTTGAATTTTTTTTTTAAAAATCAAAAAATTAAAAAATTAAGATTGAGATATTAGAATTCTCACAAAATTTATAAATTAAAAATCTCATTTTCCTTATCTACTATAGAGATTTTGAGTATAGAACATTCACGTGCCATAACAAAAGGGCCAACGAAACCATATCAAGTGGCGTATTATGAACAGTTTACTAACTTCATATACTTGTTAAATCGTTAATTGTTGAGTTCATTGTTTTTGTGTTTCAATTTTTGGAATTAGTACTAATCTAACATTGTATTACAGTCAAGTTGAGAGGGTCGCGGGCGAATTATCAACCAACCCCCTTAGCTTGTCTATGTTTTTTTCCAGTCAATTAAAGTAATGTTGCATCAGCAGTTGGCAATAGTATAGTACATTGAGGTTATGTCAGGTGCATGTGACCAGTTGCAAGAATGCACTACGGACGATGCCATTAACAGTAAACACGTAATTGATGCCTACTGAAGATGACCAATAGACATCACAACTCCACATGTTCTATACTTCATGATCTCCTACAACAGATTATTTATCAAAAAAAATAAAAAATGATCTCCTATGAGCATGCTCAACCCAAAAAAATAATATTAGAGATCACGAAAAAAATATCATGAAACACTTTATGAAGAATTTTCATTCTTTGATTAGTGTGTAGTGTTTTTTTATATGTGTAATCTAACAGTTACAGAATCTTTCATAATCATTTTTATGATATTTTTTTTCATGATACCTAGTATTACTAACTGTTAAAACCACATGAAATCAAGGAAATTAATGTTAGAATAAACCCTAATGTCAATTGCATCCACATAGAAAATGATACAAATATGGTTCCCCTGTTTGCAAAACCGTCTAATACCAAGAATGAAGGAAGAGGATCATCAATTATACAAGTCTAGGAATGAGTAATATCATCACAACCTAACATCATCATACATAGTCTAAGAACACAACCTGATCATAAATAAAACCCTAAATGGGGAATTCCATTTTCACAAGTGCATTCGAGGTCTCTATCGGTTCACACTTGAGCCAATCCTTAGCACATATAAGGGCCTCCACTGTCTCTGGTCGCAAAGAGCACCGGTAGCTGTCCATCTCTTTTCTCACAGTATCGAAAACCGAGTCAGATCCAAGAGTACACACTGGCATTGTCAAAATATCACGAGCCATCTTGGAGAGTGTTGGGTACTTCGTCTTGTTCAGCTTCCACCAGCCTAAAACATCAAACTCGTGGACACGAGGCAACAAAGACTCCTCCAGATATTGATCCAACTCTGACCTCGACTGCTGGCTGCTTGTCTCCATGATATACATATCAAAATCTGTAAGACCGAGTTCATCATTTGAAAGAAGCGTTCCTCCTCCTTGGGCCTCATCAGGCTTCATGTTTCCACCACCATTTGCTTCTTCCAAATAAGTAGGGGTTAGAGGCAGAGGGAGTGCCACATATTCAAGAAAGAGCTCGTGGATTCCCTCATCCACGATTTTCACGTACGTTGCAGCATCATCACCGTAGATTTTCGTGAAACTAAATTCAACAAGCTTCATCTTGAACCTGGGATCCATAACGACTGCAATAGCCAAAACCAGACAACAATTCTTCCAGTATTTATCAAAATTTTCTTGCATGGGTTTAGTAATGTTGCAGGTGAATGGATCCTCGCTTTGGATGGCGCGTGCTAGCTCCAACTGGATTTTCCACGCTTCGTGGAAAAATGTGTTTGTGGGTGGGATAGTTGGAGCAGTTAGGATGGTAGCAGTGTCAAAGAGCAGTTTCAAGTACGTGCAGAGAGTCTCTACTTGCTTCCAGACTTCCATAGACGGGGCTTCTTTGTAATCAGAATCAGAGGTATCCAAGCAAGAAAAAACCTCCTTCAACTCAGAAGCAGCAACCAACATTTCATATGTTGTGTTCCATCGTGTTTTGTCATCAATAATTAGGCTTTTCATGCTAGGAACTTGGAGTTGTTGCTTTAGCTCGAGAAATTTTTCCTCGTGGGATTCTGATGTCTTCACATACTTCACGCTATTCCTTATCTTTTTGACGGTTTCCTCTGCTGCCTGTAATGCTTCTTGGGCTATGCAGCTTAAAGTACGAGCAAGGCAATTCCCGACCAACAGTTGACCACCAAGCATCAATGGGTTTTTAATGGAGAGTAAAGCTCTGAGATATTCAATTCCAGATTCGCTCAAGGGTTGATTTATAGTGAGAGAAAATAGCCTGCCCTCCATAGCCCAATCAGCTAGGCAAGCAGCAACGGCATGGCTGAAAGCAGAATCCGAATCGGGGTATGGAACCATCACGACATTGAGAATTTTCCTGTGCAACTTCCAATCAATATCAATGAAGTGTCCGGTTAGAAACATGTAGCCCATGGTTTGACTTGAAGTCCACAAGTCGAGTGTAAGGCAGATTCGTCCAGGGATTCCCTCAACCACCTTCTGAAGGCCTTGCTTTTCCCTTAGGTAGGTTGCTACACAATCCCCTTGGACGGTGTTGAAACTCAACATATCAAATCGTGGTTGAAGGCTCTGGACAAAAGCAACAAAACCAGGATGTTCAACCATATGAAGTGGGTAATCATGCATGATGATCATCCTAGTGATCTCATTGCGGCAACGGTCAGGATCAAACCCAAAGAAAGGTGGGCCAGCAGTCCTGTACCGTCGTTTCGGGGTTTCAGTACCATTCCCAATGCCACCCATCTTTGACGGTGCACTGTATGGAGTTAATTGATTCCTCTCCTGGTTCCGAAGGACTACTGGGCAGGTCCCCTTGGCAATGTGGCGTTTGAGGTGGCTCGTACCAGCTACTTTTGAACCTGTACTGTATGCAAATGATTGCTTACATTGCTTACAGCATGCCCTTCTACATCCAGCGCTCACAGTTTCGATGGTGAAGTGTTCCCAGACTATGGACTTCTTTTTCCTCCGCTTGTTAGGCGTCTGTGTTTCTGCAACGACCAGTTCATTATTCTCAGTAGGGGTTTCCATTCTCTGAAGAGAAACGAAGTCCTGCTATAGGGAGCAAAACTGATTCTGAAAGTGAATTTAGAAATTAGATTAAGGCCTATAACTAAAACAAGATTTCGATACTATGACAACCAGAATATTTCATGAAAGTGAATGGACGGAACAGAAAGGTTCAAAATGAAATTCTTACCCCGCCAAACATATAATCAATATAAAGCCATGAAAAATTAGCAGTATATTTATAAGAAGACAAGAGAGCAAAACTTATATGATGAATAAGCATTACATCTCCAGCCACCAATGATTAGGCATCATTTATATATATTGCTAAAATGATTAACAGGAAACCCCCCGTTCCATGTGAATGAAGACCAGAGAAAAATGAGTAGAAACTTCAGACCAAGGGGACCGACCATACAAAACCATCAGAGATACTGACTAGAGCAGATAACAATGGAGACTAAAAGGCAAATTTAAAAGATGAAACTGCAAATGAAGAAAGAATGAAAATTTTGCTTCTGATAGGTTGATCAGGAAAAGCTTTTACGCTTCTACAAGATGCACCAAAAATCATTGTGTGACAATGATAGTATGCTATGACTAATGAAGAGAGGAAGAGAGAGATGAGTTACCATCCCACTTTCCATAAAACTTAGAAAATTTCAACTACTTCATTTCAACTTCTGTTATCTAGGGCACTTTTTAAAATGCTTGGATCCTGGATCAAGTTGAAGAGTGCTCAAAATAGTAGCTTATGGTTTTCAAAACTAAAAGAATTTAACTTCAAAGTAAACGACTTTTACATTTTACACTCCAATTGGACTTAAAGCTGCAATTCACTTTTTAGAATTCAAAGTCTAACTAAGAAGATTAAAACCAAAAGATAGTAGCTTATGGTTTTCAAAACTAAAAGAGTTTAACTTCGAATTAAATGATTTTTACATTTTACACTCCAATTGGACTAAAAGCTGCAATTCACCTTTTAGAATTCAAAGTCTAACTAAGAAGATTAAAACCAAAAGATAACAATTCAAGTACATGAAACAAGCACCTAGGTTGAAAGTTTAAGCGAACAATAAATAAGAAGGAACACACCATCGGAAAACATGCTTCTATTAACAAACATCAAAACAACAAAAAATAGATAACTCAACTGGAAACAATAGGGCTGTTTGGTGTAGCTGCAAGTTGATAATTAGAAGTTGAAGCTAAAAGCACTCTTTCCTCTTCTCCAGCTTCTAAATAATAAGTTTTTTCTAGATAATTTAAGTTGTTTCTACCTCATAAGTTATAAGCAAAAACTACACCACACATTGTCATAGACTCCCAACATAATAATAATAATAATAATAATAATAATAATAATAATAATAATAATAATAATAATAAAGTTATTAAGCAGCAATAATATTGCATCAAACAACACCAACAATAATTCATTAAAACTCAACAAGAAGTTGCGTGCATCATGAACTACAAGAGAGTGGCCACCTTAGTAGATCTCCAATATTAGGCATCTATGTTTACAGCATTTTTACCATATAAGTAGTGTCACAATAATACCAAATGCGCCCTCCTATATGATGATCATGGGCTGCCTTATGTGCCATGACTGTTTGTAACATGCTTCCCTGTAAATCTTTCCACGAATATGAACACAATCCATCCAAGGAGAAGAGGCCTTATTTAGGTTTCTTTTCTTTATCAGACATGGTTACTTAGCTCCATTTTTGTATTGGACCAGTTACATGTTACTATTAATACAGTATCAAGGTAGTCATATAAGGCACCTAATATTGGGATTGGATGTTCAAAGTGGCGGCCTAGGATATATGGACACTTCTAAAAAAGTGCTGTGTCAGACTAGACATTTGTCAAACACTTCCTGATGTGTTAGGCACTCGTCCAAAATTGTCATATTAATTTTTTTAAATAATTTGTTTTAGAGTAGTCACATTTTGGATACTTATGGGACACACACATACATTACTATTATTATTATTTTTTTTTTTTAACAAAATAACTTAAGATATAATAATAAAAATAAAAATAACTAAAAATTTATCAGAATAAATGTAGTGTTGTATATTTTATTATCTTTAACCGACATATTCATATATAACATATAAAACTATATATTTAATGCATCTCCCCCATTTGTCATGTCTTGCATTCAAAAAGAAAAAAAATTATTGTGTTGACAAGTCATTTGCTTCTTAGGGGGTGGCCATGGATTTGAGTTAGAGACAAATCCAAAATTGAATCAACGGCGGTCAGTTCCATGTTTTTTGGAACCCAAAGTCAAACATACCAACTCTATATTGTTGTGCAACTGAACCAATCCAAACCATAAACATTGAACAACCAACTAACCAATGTTTACAAGTTACCAAAAGTTAAAATCCCAAACTTGCTTAACTTGCTTATCAAGTCCAAACAATTGCCCAACGTTATTGATTAAGTCTGCAATTGAACATACACCATAGAATAGAATAGAGAGGGTTATGTATTCACTCTCACCTAATGTACTAGATACATAAAGGGCACCAGGGTAAAAAGTACAAACCTTCATCACTACTAGATTGCTATGATTCCAAAGTACTGAATTCAATAGTGAACACATAAACTGGGCCCACCTTATAACAGTAGTATCTTGCAAGGGCCATCAAGGATTTACAGTGAAGATTAGAGTATTATTGCATACTTTTCTATAAATAACTTCAAGTGCGTAAAACCCAGTTCATGTATGTATGGCCCACTGAGAAAAGCCCATATGAGACAAGACATGAGTTAAGGGTAAAACCGGTATTTCCTGCATCCATGGGCTGAAAACATTTGCAGCCGAAGGAAAGAGAAGAGAAAATAGATCTAGGGTTCAATCAACCTTGGGCTCCAAACAAATCTACAGAGACAAGCCCAGAACAAATCAAAACCCCCAAATGACAACTATCACAAAACAACCATCAAAACAACAAAATCAAATACAACAGTCATATATTAACGCTTCGAACTATGTAATAAATCTACAACATCTCATAGATTCGTACTGAATTCAAAACCCAGAAACAAATATTCCATCAGAACTCAAAATAACTAGGGTTTGGCTAAAAAAATTAGGGTTCTTACTTGCACAATCGGTGATTCTGAGAAAGACCCAGAAACAGATGCGATCTGTTGTGTGTACCAGAGGCTCCGAGAACAATCTTCAGCTCCTCTGCAATTGCTCGAGATCTAGGGTTTCGCCGAAGAGAGAGAGAGAGAGAGAGAGAGAATTGGGCTTGAACCCGAGAAAACGTAATTGGACCTTTGGGTTGGGGGTTGGCTGTATAGATGTGACTCTTTTGAGGAGAAAAAAATTTGGGGGGAGAGAGAAAATAAAGTGGATTGGATTGGATTGGACTTTGAGGTCCAATTTATTGTTTGAAGTGGTCATATATATAGTTTAGTATATAGTCAGATAGATAGATATATATATAGCCCACCATTTAGGGTCTTGTTAGACTTTTTTAGATGGGGTTGAGGTGTACGTGTAGCCCACAGGATATAGTGGATTATTTATGGTGAGGGCCCACATGGGGGGAAGATTAATTTGAAGAAACCATATTCAATTTTAGCCCAATGATGTCTGTGAAATTTCAATCTTGGGACTTTGCAACAAAATTTATTAAAGACTTGATCCAACTTGGATTGAAGGAGGGTTTGACCAATAAACATCTAGTAAAGTTGGGTTGGAGAGTTGGAGTTGGACTACTATGACTCTTCCATGGATGTGGCTTGTCAAGGGTATTTTAATAATTTTAACATTAATTGGGGGACATTTATCAAAACAATGTTTTTATTTATTTATTTTAAATAAATTCAAGCAATTGTAAACTTAAAACTGAAACTGAACTTTAACTTGAGCGAGAACATAGGCATACATCTCGTTTTTTGGATTGAAATGCTTTAGTTAGAGCTTTTCATCAGAGCATTTTTAACCCATTAGGTATATAATGTTTGTTAGTTAAAAAGTCTAGTATGACTCATTTTTTTCAACTCTAATGCACTAGGAATATGATTAAACATTTTAGCTCAATTCACATTTACTAGTTACATGTAGCTAGCCTTCAAGGTTATGCAAAATGTATTTAATCATTAGGATCATTTTCCTCCATCTTTGTTGCTAATGTGGCATTCTATAAAGCTAATAATATTTGGATAAATAGCTAAAATACAGAGCATGGTTGGAGTAAAAACATGAAACGGTTAACAGGCAAAATAAAATATAAACTTTATAGTAATGTTTAGATAGGTAAAATGCCTATTACCGTTGGAGATGCTCTTTGTAAGACATCAATCTTATTATGAAAAAAAAATTTCGAAAATATTTTTCGAAACAATATTTTCTATGTTTGGTGGTAGAATGAAGGTAGAAGTAGAGGTAGTGGCATCATGGTGGGGTGATGATAGCGGTGATTGCGACAATGATAGTAGCGGTGGTTGTGGTGATGGTGGTGTGGTGATATTGGTAAAAGTTTAGTCCGAAAAATATTTTTCATTTTTTAAAAGTGAAAATATTTTCTACCTAAATAGGTTTGTTTTTCATTGATCATGGAAAATATTTTTCGTTAATTTTCATTTTCTATTGTACCAAACACCAAAAAATGCAGTAAAATATTTTTCACCCCAACAAACGGAGTTTTAATATTTTTAGGGTTAAATGGAAACCTAAAAAATTAGTCATGTGTTAATTTATTATTATGTAATTCAATTAAATGTTTCATTAAAAAATTAATTAAATGTTTGAGACATGAATTGGCATTACAAGTATTCAACCATTTGAACATATATTTCAATCGTATTGTTATTATCAGGATTCTTATAATTAGGGTCAACTTGCAACTGCATGATATATTAGATTTGATCCTTTAATATAGGGCACTAAATTAATTTAAGGGTTAATTATACTTTAAAACTGCTAAATTTTTATTAAAATATTATTTTGATCTTTTTATTTTCAATTGCTACAATCAAATCTTTACATTTTAAATCAAGGTTTAATGTCACCTTCGTATCTATTTGATTTTAATAAACTTGACAAAACTTTTCATGTGAGTGATATGTGAAAAAAAATTTCTATTCATTAACACTTTTAAAATCTCATTTTAGTTTATCTTTGCATTATTATTAAAATCTCACTTTGGTTCATCTATTTTTAATTTTCATCAACCTCATGCATAGTATAAGAAAAAAGAATGATGGGAAAATTACACATACATGAAGTAGTATAAGAAAAAAAAAGTACACTACAAGTGGATTTTTTTTTTTTGGTACAACTCTGACAGATTGGAAGAGTTGTGCTAAGTACAAAAATATATTTGCACCATGCACAACGTAGAGTTGCACCATCATGAAACACTGCTATATTGAAATGCAATTTCCAAGAATAATTGTAACAATTGAAAGTAGGACGACCAAAATAAAATTTTAGCAAAAATGTAAGGGTATTAAGTGCAATTAGCCCTTAATTTAATATATCATTTTATGAGACTTTGTCTAAGGGAACATATATGGTAGCGTTTAGTAGAGTTTTAAAATTATAATTTGATAATAGAGTTGTATTTTGAGTTTGTGAATTTTGAAATTATAATTTGAGTATGAAAAATTTGTTTAGTTATGAGTTTTGAAAAAAGTTTTGAATTGAGTTTGAAATTTTTGATGTGACATATGATATTTGATTAAAAAACTTACAACTCATAACCAACACACACAACCCAAAATTCTATTCAAAGCTTATACAAAATTTTTACAAAATTCTGAAAATATTTTTTATTTAAAATATAAAAATAACAATTGCCAAAAAATAAATACTGTTCCGGTCAACCAAGCGGACGTTCAAAAGAAATCCGGGAGATGACCGGATAAATATGTTTTCAAAAGTGTTTGTGAAATCAATGTTTGAAAATTGTAACCCAACAATGCACTCAAACTAAGGTGTAGAATTAAGTTTCCAAAACTCCACCAAACACAGCCTATGATTTTGCTATCATTAGTTAACAAATAAAAATAAAAGAGTAAATTACAAATACATATTTTGAGATTTGCTTAAAATATGAATTATTTCCTATGGTTTGAAAATTTACAAATACCTCCTTATCATAATTTTTTATTTAACAGAATTAATTGAAAAAGTAAAATTTCTAACTGTTCACCTATACAATAATAAAATTATCTGAACTATTAATTGAAATAAAATTTTAACATTATTAGAAACTGTTAATTAACTTGATGATTTATTAATAAAATGACCTATTTGTTATGAAATTAGAAACTTTATAGGGTATAATGTAATTTTTAAAATTACAAGGAATAATTTATAATTTAAGAAAATCTCAAGAGGTGTGTTTGTAAATTAAAAAAATCCAAAAAAAAAAAAAATCCACACCTGCTTATGCCTGCCATTTCCCTTTCAAGGTGATATTATCAATTACTTGGAATATAATTGTATTCAGATCAATGTTACCGTCAAACCACAACTTTATTTTATTTTATTTTGTTGGGCTGTTGTGCTTAATAGGTCTCTTACTACCTTGGCACGTTGTCCATCTTTTATAAGAAGTGTTATGTATCTTTTATAAGAAGTGTTATGTATCATTGATTTTAATTATAATTTTATTTCACTGCATGCTAGCGCTCCGATGTGTGTAATTTTTAAAAAATATATATTATAAGAGTAATGATAAAAATAAATACTTATATAGTGTATATTGTTCAAGTGCTAAGAGCCTTCATTATTAACCCCATGGTCGCGAGGTTCATAGTTTTTTCTCATTTTTGTATAACTTATACAAAAACTCCAATTGTAAGGATATTTGGAACAAACTCAAAATATGAACCACAAGTTTATTTTATTTTATTTTGTTGGGCTGTTGTGCTTAATATGTCTCTTACTACCTTGGCACGTTGTCCATCTTTTATAAGAAGTGTTATATATCATTGATTTTAATTATAAATTTATTTCACTGCATGCTAATAAAATATTAGCGCCCTGATGTGTGTAATTTAAAAAAAATATTGTTCAATTGCTAAGAGCCTTAATTATTAACCCCATGGTCACGAGGTTCAAGGCTTATTCTCATTTTTGTATAATTTTTACAAAAACTCCAAATGTAAGGATATTTTGAACAAACTCAAAATATGAATCACATTTGTGTCAATACCACTAATAAGTTTCACTTTATAATAGTAGATATATATACACATAGATAGATAGATGTGTTTAAGGTTTGTCCTCCTATTTGCATAATTTTTTCCAAAACTCCAAATATAGGGGTATTTTGAAAAAATTTAGGCTCTGTTTGGTTCCATTATAGTATCATGATTTCACTCTCACATTTCAACCCTCTGTTTGATTATAGTTTTCAAAATATGATTCCAAATCAAATTTCAAAACACATTTGAAAACATGCTTGGTAACCATTGAGTTTTTGAATTTTTGGGTCTATCCGGTCGTTTGGCCAGACATCCTTCCGGACAGTTTTTGAATTTTAGTTCTACCCGGTCATCCGCTCGAACATCCTCTCGGGCGTTCGGTCGGTCGATCGGAACATTTTTTTTTTGGCAATTGCCACCTGTTATTTAAAAACTAAAAAATTTATATTTAGTTTTGATATTTTTTAAATAGAGAAATTATTTTTTTAAGACCAAAATGACAACTTATTTGGCCATTTATTTAAAATTAACAAAAAAATTTAAATAAAATTTAATTTGTCACAGTAATTTTTTAAAAATAAAAAAAACATTTTTAAACAAAACAATTAAAAAAAATTTCCAATCAAATATACAATCAAAATTAATTTTACAGAACTAGTTGATTCTTTTTTCTTAACAAAAAATAATATATATTTTTTAATATTTTAAATATAATATATTTTACGAATTTTTTGAATTTTTTAAATAAAAGTTATTTTTTTCAATAATTATTATTTTTAATTGAATTTTAAAAAGAGTTTGGTTATGGTTTTAAATAGAATTTTCAATAGAGATTTGAGTTGTGTGTTTGGTTATGAGTTGTAAATTTTTAAATTAAGTTTTGATAATTCTTTTCAAAACTCATAACCAAACCATTTTTCTTATTTTAAAAATTCAAAACTCAATTCAAATTTTTTTTCAAAACACATAATCAAATAATTTTTCTCCTTTCAAATCATAATTCAACAACTTACAAACTTAAAATATAACTACATTATCAAATTATGATCTAAAACTAAACCAAATGCTACCTTAAAATATAAGACACAAATATTTGTGTCAACAACACCATCAGCCGCCTTCGTTTGGGAAAACCCAAAATATGACACACATTTGTGTCAATGCCACCAATAGTCTTCTTCACTTTATAATAATATAGATATAAATGGATGGGCAAATG